ACAGGGTTTTCAACAGGGAGCAAAATCATAGGGCAGAATCTTATAGAGGTCTAAACGGTGTGGGCTGCGGTGAGATGCATGACAGAATCAGAAAAAACTGCGGCAAGGTTCAATCCCGATTTTGAGATCATCTCGCTCCATCTTTTTCACAAGCAGCATGGGGAGATTCTCTCAGTGGAGTATTGCCAAATTGAGAGATTAGCACTTCCTAAGTGCCTTGTTAATGTCACAGTTTGCTTCATTAATATTTAGCTACCTATCTTACCAAACATGCCAAAGAAACTGGACACACACAAACTTGAAAATGAAACCAGAGTGGGCATCTAACCGATTCAGCTCGCCATTTGCTCTAAAGGACCTCCATGTTGGACACCAACATTTCAAGGCACGCTGCACAGGAACCAGCCACCCATTCCCCACATCCACGGGCACTGGGTCCACCTGTGCCAGCTTCTAAGAATTTTTCATAGCACATTTCCAATCCGCTTCTGCATTTCAACGCCACATTGCAGGTTGCATGAACTGCTATCACTGCAATGCTGCAGCAAAGATACTGTGCACCAGCTCATGAACTGGACCAGACTACATCCCCGTGCACCTTACTAGCTGTCATAGGCTCTGGGTGAGAGAGTACTATCTGGGTGCTCATAGCATCCCCGCCTTGCATTGCCTTGCCTTGCAGCATTAGTGAGAGTGGTAAAGCATGAAGCTTAATGAAAGTAGGTACAGTAGCAGAGAAACAGTGAGTGAGAGGGATTGGAGAGTGGATAGTGGATACCCAGAGGGAGTAGAGAAGGATATTGACCTTCCCACAGTGCTGTGCGTTACTTCAGATTGCTTTATCCTGGGTGGCAACTTTGTATCAGTTTGGCATGGTTGGGTGATACGGTCTCGACTGCTAACCATGGGGAGGAGGATCTCCCATATCAGCACTATATCTTCTAGCAGGACCTCTGGGATTCTGCCTGTAAAACAGGACGCCAACCTCCCTGAATGCCACATCCATGTCAGAAAATATACAAGACAGCTCTGGACTGGTAGTGCTTGTCCTACTGCACAATGGGCTTTCAAAGGGTGCAATGGATGCTGGGGTATCAGTGGATATCCACTGGTTGGCCAATTGTTTTGGCAATGGCACCTGGTAAGATGGGGCTGAAATTAGACATGAGAGATACCATTGGTAGGTAATTAATGACACAAGTTTGGTAAGATAGAGGTGACAGAACTCCCTAGACTTCATGGCGAAAAACCCTTCAAAACCTCGACAAAACAAAGTCAACTCTCCTCCCTCAGGAAAGACCTCAGTGGATCTCCTTTATCTATCTTCCATCCACCTCCCCCTCTCTCCCTATTTATTTCAGAACCCCCTTCCCCCTCCCCCATTTCTGAAGAAGGGTCCAGACCCGAAACGTCAGCTTTCCTGCTCCTCTGATGCTGCTTGGCCTGCTGTGTTCATCCAGCTCTACACCTTGTTATCTCTCTCTCAACCCAATAGTTTCAGTCTTCCCAGTACTAAATGGAGGAAATTTCTGCTCATCTGGTACTGGAAGTTGAATAATCAGTGTGATAATATACAATTAGTCGAGGTGTCGTGAGAGAGGGTGGTGAGTTAGGACTTGGTGTTATCAGTATATATGGGAAAGTTAACTCCAGGCCTTTGGATGATGTTGCCAAACTGCAGCATGTAGGTGAAACATGGAGGGAGAGTCAAGGATTGATCCTCGAAGATCACCAGGGATAATGGCTCAGGAACAGAATGAGAAGCTGCTGCACTACTGTAATGATCAGAAGATGGCACGGGAGTGAGGGGACATTTTGATGTTACTCCTGCATTATTTCAATATTCTAATGTTTCAGGCAAGAGCTTTCTGTGTCTGCCCATGGACTAGTTAGAACGGGTGCTATGGATCTCAGGCCTTTTCTCCAGGAGCATGAGATACCCCATACAGATGTAACAATCAGAAAAAATTACCCTTATATTTTGCACCATTTTTCTCCAATTCGGCAGTTGTCTTGAAAATGTCAAGGAATCAACAAAGCAGAAAGTTTGATAATTAAAAATGAAACTCATGATAGGTTACAATTAGAAATCTTGCTTCGGAAACAACCTTACACTATGTGAAGGATACTTTGCTTTTTGTTGTTTTCTATATTCCATACTTGAATAAGAAAGCTTGTTTATTACTGCTAAATTACTATTTATTTACCTGCTGAATGTTAAACATCTTATTGCTAGACAGTGAAGAAGGAGGCCAGAAGTCAATGTGTACTCAGTGAGACATAAATATAAAGCTCATAACTCTACAAACCACTACCAGTGCTTGTAAGTGTCTCTTTAAATGTGGGCAGATAATTATCTTCTTAACTTTAATTTATACAATTAACATTTTCTGTTAATGAACACCGTGGTAAATTACAGCATGAATCACAGTTTAATAGAATGTTTAATTTACTGCTTTCTGAAGTCATGGAGTGAGTGGCGGCTTATATTTCCTAATCCCAATATATGACAAGAGCATCTATTCAGTATCCATTCCTGCTAGAATGACCTAAATATTGAACAAGTAAAGGCTTGCTCTGACTCAATGGAACTGAGGACTTGTTTAAGGAAGTGATCTTCAGTATTGAATGCAAGAAAATAACTTGACTTAAGAATTCAGTAACACTTTGAGTGATGTCACTGGCCTTTCAGATGTGCTTGCAAACAGTAATTGTTTTCTTGCCCATTATATATCAAGCTTCAATCAAAGATGCATTGAAGAAACCTTCTCTGCATTTGTTCTCATTTTCCTGGATCAGGCTTGCTTCTCAAGATTCTGCACATTGTTGATGACAACAGTATCTAAAAATAGTGGAGCACATTTGCAGCTCTTCCGAGCTGCACTACAAATTTAATTGTTTCAAATCCACATGAGGATGGTTCTGCCATAGTGCCAAGGATGAAATGTAGGTATGATTCGCAGTCATTTTTAATTATGCTGTACAGCAGATCATTCCACATATAAGGTATATCACAGCTGCAAAATCCAGTTTCCAATTCAAACATCCTATTTGCTGCAATGCATCAATGCAGATTTAATTGCTTATAATTGTGAAATTGCTAAAAGCCATCCTAATTTTCTCTCCACCATGATCTCCTTCTCATGGAGGTGCTTCTGATACTTGGCTACCACCAGATAAAGTAATAAGAGGGTTTGATTAAAGCTGATTATATGGAATGCACAGTGAAACTCATGTATCAAAAGCGATTAGAATCAATTTAGAAAGCATGTATCACTATAACATCAGTTGCCATAAGGACAACTTTTAAAAGTTTAGCTGCAAAAGAAAACTTAT